GCCTAGAAGAATCAACACAGGTTTTTTTCTTACTTAGAAGGTAAGATTCAAAGTGCAAACTAGACAGTGTGATTCCGAGGGTCACTTTCTCAGTCATCACTGCTCAAGCCCAGTTTCCAAAGGAATCTGATTGGCTCAGTCTGTAGCAGGAACAATTGTGCCAGGCACTGGAACCACATGCGGCAGCACAGGTGTTCTGGAGGAATCCTGAAGGGAGGAGGGTGTGGCAGGGAGGAACGGCATTCTCACAAAAAATGGAACATTATGTGTCAGGCAGGTATTCAGAAAGGTGTATTCATGTCACGTGGGAGTTCAGATTCTCCATTTGTTACTCATGAAGTAACTGCAGATTTTGGTGATTAAACGACTTGCTGCAGGCTACCTATAAGCCAGAAAAGCAAGACTATAATTGCTGGGCTTCACTTAATTATAACACACTGTCAGAGAAGGTGGCTGGGATGGTCGAAGGCAGGCACTATATGGCAGATTGTATTTTCTAACAAGGGCCATCACAAATGTCTCCCACTCTTCATGCTCTTCTTAAAATAAAATTTTGATATTTCTTCCATCAAGATAAGGGGGCTGTGGCTTTCCCCTTGAATCCAGAAGTCTTGTAGAGTCTATGGCAGAAGTGACACAATATGGGAGAACTTCCTTCAATGCCCTTGAATTGTTCACCATAGAACCCAGTTGCCATGATGCAAGGAAGCCTAAGCTTTGGGTCACTGTGCCAAAACACCTGAGACAAAAAAACTCAGAAAGAGGAAAGGTTTATTTCTGATGCAGTTCAAGAGGTTTCAGCTCATGGCTGGTTACCACTGCTGCTGCTGCTGCAGGGCCTGTGGGTAAGGCAGGACCCCACTGGAGGGTGGATCTGGTAGAGCAAAGCTGCTCAGCTGGAGGCAGACCAGAAGAGCAAAGTGTGAGGCACAGAAAGTGCCAGGGTCTTACGGTCTCTTTTAGCACCAGCCTTGCAGTACCCGATTTCCTTCACTAGGTCTTATCTTCTAAAGGCTTCACAATCTCCTAGAAGTGCTATGGGCTAGAGAACAAGCCTTTAACATATAGGCATCTGGTGGACACTCAAGACCCTCCTACCCCTGGAGCTAGGGATTTTAGCTCAGCAGCACAAGCACCTGCCTGGCAAGCGCGAGGTTGCAAGTTCAATCCCCAGTACACCCCCCTAACCCTAAAAAGGGTCCTCTTCCCCCCCACAGAAAGACCAGATGGAGAATACCTGGGAGGACACAGAGGGAGAAATGCTTGGCCAGTTCTAGCTTTGGCCACCATCTAAATGCAATCTTGTGACAGAACCACAGCCAGAACTACCCATGTGAGCCCTCCCCAATTAAGTCCCTCACCTACAGAAACAATGGGAAATGTTACTATGATTGCTGTTTGGAGATGCTATGTTTTGGAGATTTATTGTACAATAGTAGTCAGAACGGCACAGAAATCTTCAGAAGTCCTAAGAGCCATCTTCAAATATAAATATCTAGTGCTGGAGATTTAGCTTAGTGGCATAAGTGCCTGCCTGGGAAGCACAAGGTTGTGAGTTTGATTCCTGGTACTTTATATATATATATATAAAGGGCTTCATGTACAAGAAGAGTTAGAATTGGAGTATGAAGCTTTAGGAGGACAGCACTTTGGGGGAAATCTGCCTCTTCAGGGGGCCTCTCTAAATGCAGAACTTTAGAGGAGTCATTAATGGAGTGTTTGGGTCCCCTTCTAAGTTGAGTACCCTGCCACTAGACATTCAAGTAGAGAATGCATGATGCTGTGGTTTAGATCTGAAATGGTCCCCCAAATTCTCATGCTCAGAGGTAGGGCCAGGTCAGAGGGGGCAGGTCCCTGGGGCAAGACCTGGAAGGTCTCCCTCCCTGGCTGCTCTCTTCAATTTCTGCTTCCTGACTATCAAGGGAATGGGCAGACTTCCTCTGCTCAGGCCCTTTTGCCATCTCTGCCTTGGAACCAGCTGACAAAGGAACTGCAACTGTAAGCCACAATAAGCCTTTTCACTTTTAAATTGTGCCAGGTATTTTGACCCAAAAATGAGAAAAGTGGCTAAGACAAATGACAGTTTGGGGGACTGTTAGAAAAGGATCTATAAGAACCCACAAAGCACCTACTAAAAAACATAATTCCTAATAAGTGAAGGTAAAATGTTATAAAGACTATGCCCTAGCTTTAAACTTTAAAGACTAAACATTTAGTGAATTCTCCTTAGAAGCAATAAAGAATGAGCCTTTCATGTTGGAGAGCACTGGAAAAGCAGAAAGGCCACCCTACAAAGAGCCAATGGACACTTTACCAACTTAATCACACCCCTCTCACTTAAGACACATTGTCCTTGTCCATCTGTGGGATTCTGGTCCATTACCCTTCCAGTTCTTTTCCCAGTTGGCACAATCTTTTGCTCCCTTCAACCCTCACATCCGATTGGTGGCCAAATCAGCCCACTTTCATCTCCACAGTTAAGTCCTGCATCTGTTTCTTCTGCTCCATTTGCTCTCTCATTGGCTTTGTTGATGCCATCGTCAACTCTCATCTGGATGACTGCAGCAATCCTCTGCGTGGATAGACAGATGCCAAATTAATTAATCTCAAAGAATGCCTTGAGTGTATCTGTCCCTGGCTCCAGAACCAAACCTGCATTAAATTTTCCATTGTCTTTACAGCAAAGGTGCAGTTTCAGGTTTTCATGATCTGGTAGAGAATGAGAAAGAAAAAGAATTGGAGGGGGGATAAATTTTAGTGATTCTTGCATTTCTTTCCTAAGACTGCCATAATATTTTTTTTTCTTTTTTATTGGTACCAGGGATCGAACTCACAACCGCACACTTGCAAGGCAGGTGCTTATGCCGCTGAGCTAAATCCCCAGCCCCAAAATGCCATAATAATTCAGCACTGTGTGGTTGTAAAACAGCAGAAATTTATTGTAAAAGCTAAGTATCCAAATTCAAGATGTTAGTAGAGCCATGGTCTCCCTGGAGGCCCTAGGGAAGAATCCATCTTTGCCTCTTTAAAGCTTCTTATGGATGTCAGCAATCTTTGGACTCCCTTGGCTGGTAGGTACACTATTCCAATATTTGCCTCTATTTTCATATGGATCTAACTCTGTGTGTGTGTCCATCTGTCCAGATCTCCTATAACTTGGTTATTTCTGCAAAGACTTTGTTTCCAAATAAGGTCATATTTACCAGCACTGATGTGTCTTGTGGGGATACAACTCAAACCTCCAAAATTCCAAACTGGTGGAAGCTGCTGGAACAGTGGCTTAGGATGGGATAGCATTTTGCTTGTGAAGAGGGTCCTGGATGTACTGAACAAGTTCAGGCACTGTGGGAGGTACTATTAACTAGGGCAGGCTTTTCTATGGTTTTGAACAATAGACCAGCGCGCATGATCAGAGACCAGAATTTTTGTTTTATGACAAAATCGGTATGGAAGCTGGATCAGCATGAAGCAGGAAGACATCATTGGAAATAAAGCTCGGTAGGTCATTTAAGAGCATATCTAGGTAGCCTGTGGTGAGGAGATATACAGGGAACTAGGTTTCTGCTTATTGAGTTAGCCGTATTCAACAGTCCTTTATCCTGAAACAGGTGCTCCAAATACATTGGTTGAATAGTTGAAGGATGGGTAAAACAGGCTTGCAGCAGTAGTTAATGGAAAGCAGAAAACAATCCAACAGGCCCTTCAGAGGTGAACTGACAGTGGCCTGTAAGAGGGTGAGTTAAGAAGGAGTATCAGGTATTGCTTAAAGCCAGGCTCCTAGCGGGTTGGGGAAGGGCATAGCTTAGGTGATGGCAGTGCTTGCGGAGCATGTTCCAGGTTCTGGGTTCAGTGGAGCACAGAGAGAGATAGAGAGGGACGCGGTGGGGGAGGTGAAAAAGTAGATTCATAACTTGGCACCTGTTGGTGTCTCCAAATCTCACACTCCTCCTAGCAGCTGCCACACGATGTCTACTACAAAACGCATCTCTGCCTGGCACGCCATTTCTCCATGCTGGCTGGCTCTGGAGTCAGGACCCTGAACGTATTCTTCCATGCACCCTCCCCAGCGCCCCGCACACAGTAGGCCCACAGCAGAAATTCCAATGGCTGTATTCCTGAATGAACGGATTCCCGACCTAAGCAACATGGGGGCGGGGGCGGGGAAGCCAAGGTCTAAACTCTGGGGTTTAGACTCGCGCAGTTTCAAAGCGCCCGGCTCTCACTAAGCGCCCCCACCAGCACTTGTTGAACCACGCAAAATAAATCCGGTTCTCTGGGCTTCCCCGCCCTGGCCGCGCGGTCTGCGTCTGGCAGGGTGACAGAGTCCTCCGCAATGTCATTCTTATGTAATCGCTAACGACCCTCCCGCCCGCTCGCCATCTCTCCACCACAGCGGAGGCCGGGAAGGGCAGGGAAACGAGTGCACGCTATACACAGACACCGTTTCGGTGGCGGATCCACCGATTCATCGTCCGTCTCGCTTCCCCACAAAGGTCTCCGGCCAGCCCGCGGGAGGCGCGCGGGGAGCCAGGAGCCGGGAGCCGGGAGCGCTCCGTGGGCCAGGCCAGCGCAGCCCGTACCGCTCCGAGCGGCGTCCCCGGGGTCCCTCCGCCGCTCCGGGCCCCGCGCGGTCTCCACAGCGGGGCGAAGATGGCGGCGCGGCCGGGCGCCGGGCGGCCGCGAGGGGTCGCGGTGCTGCGCGCTCGGTGGGGCCGGCGCGGCTAGAGCGGCCCAGGGCGCGCGGCGGCCTCGCCTCGCCTCGCCTCGCCTCGCCTCTCCTCTCCTCTCCCCGCCTGCCGCCGCCGCTGCCGCCGCCTCCTCCCTCTCTGCCACCGCCCCGCGGCCCGCGGCCCGCCCCGCCCCGCGCGCCCCTCCCCGGCCCGGCCGCCCCGCGTCGCGCTCCCCCGGGATGGCCCGCGCGCCCCAGCGCTGCCTCGCGGAGCACTCGGCGGCGGCGCGGCGCGCGAGGGGCCGCCTCGGGCCGAGCGGGCGCCGCCAACATGTCGGACACCAAGGTAAAAGTTGCCGTCCGGGTCCGGCCCATGAACCGACGAGGTGAGGAGCTTTCCGCTCGTTTCCCTTTCTGCTCCGGTGGAGGGTGGGGGCAACTTTGGAAACTGCAGGGGCGGCGAGGGGGCCGCGGACGGCCGGGGTCCGGGGGTCCGGGGGTCCGGGGAGGGCGCAGCGCCCGGGGCGCCGGCTCCCGACTCAGCCGCCTCCCGGGGGACCCGGCGCGGGGGCGCGGATGCTCAACTCCGCCACGGTCGCGTGCCCCTGTGATTTCAGAGCTGGAGCTGAACACCAAGTGCGTGGTGGAGATGGAAGGGAACCAGACGGTCCTGCACCCTCCTCCCTCCAACACCAAGCAGGGAGAAAGGTAAAGCGGTTCGGGCGGGCGGTGGCGGGACCCCAACTCACGGCGTCCTGCGAGCTGGAGCCAGGAAAACGGGAGAGCGCTCTCCTATTGTTAGGAGTTTGTCATCTGCTCCCTTGGGGAGCTGTTGCAAGTCCAAGTTCCTTTCCTCCCGCTGGCGCCCCACGCCTTGTCCCTCCCATCTAGAGCAGTGTCAGGCAGGTCACCCAGACCCGGGCCAGCCCCAGTGCGCTGTGTCCCCTGCAGGGTTCAGGCCACCCAGAGAGCTAGGGCGCCGGATGGAACCCTGGGAATGATTGATTCAGTGGTCACATTTTACAGATCCAAAAACTGAGGCCCGAAGTGGCCAAGTGAAAAGGCTAAGTCTTTGTGTATGGAACTCAGCGCCTCTGATTTTTTTCCTTCACCTCACCGTTTGCTTCCTTTGGTAGAATTGTTTGGGGACGCTGTGTATAAGATAGGAGCGGGGGTGGTGGCGGCGCAAAACAGACTTGTCAGATTCGGGCACTGGCTGGCTCACTTAAAATCTGTTTTTTTGTTGGTGCTGAGTTGAGATAATGCGCGAATTTTGATTTTCAAGGAAACAAAAGTAGCACCCAGAACTGTATAGTCGCTGGGGGGAATGTTTAAAGGAGGCTGCATTTACTAGATGGCAACATATTTGCATTTGAAAAGTGGTAACTGTGGGATCCTTATTAATTCTGTTCTGTTTCATGCAACGGTATGGGAAAATGCCCTAAAATAATTTGAATTTTTGGCATTTTTCTGGTAAGCTCCCAGAAGAAATCGGTTGGAATTCATTCAACGTGGCAGTATATAGTGGCTTGTTAAAAGAAAAAATGTAAAAGAAAAACCGAAATTCTACAAAATTAATTTCTGAAAACGACTGTTTTTCTAAAAGTCACCTGTTGATTGATGAGTTACAATGTAGTAATTTTGCTCTTCAGAGATTTTTCACCGAGAGATTCTGAAACACGATTTGTTACTTTATTGTTAAAAGAGGCAGCTGTTTCCGTTCTATAATCATGTGATACCCCTGCACCGTTTGCTAAATTAGGGGGATAAAATTATGAGGAGTAAAGATTGGGGGGTTCTTCGCTTTTTGTTTTGAGCTTCACATTTAATTTGCAAACATTCTGCTACCCTTAGTGGATTCTTATGGTGATATTACACAGCTCAGTTTATGATGTGTTAAATACTTTCCACCAATGGATGTATTCACTGGCAGTGTTTTTAGATACATTAAAAATATGATTTATTTTTTACTTTTTTATTTTTCGGTACCAGTGATCAAACACAAGACTCGAGCTTGCCAGGCAGGTGCTTATGCCACTGAGCTCAATCCCCCACCAAAAATATGATTTTTACAATACTGTATTTTTAGATACATCTGTAGCAGTGTGAATTCATGGCAGTATATATTTCATGTTAATAATAAGTAAATTTACTGAGTAAGTTAAAATATTTGGAGATTTAAATTAGCCACTACAGTCCCCCATCCCCATATTGTATTATTTCAGAAAAATCTTTGGGTTAGATTCTTCAAGCAGGCTGGGAAACAGGTAGAATATTTAAATCCAGTTTTATAGCTGCTGCTTCTGTTTTCCTTGCTGGTTTGGCACCTGCTTCTTGTCACTCTTAAATCAGGCATGCTACTGAAGCCTTGTCATTTGTGCAGAGATACAGGTTTAATTTTGTGGAGTTTGGATAGAATTTATAACTGGATAGTTGGTTCCAAATGCTAAATAATCAGTTGATCACTTTTAGAGTTGCCATTGTTAGTCTCTTAAGTAAAGATTTTTATGGTGATTTTGGGATTTACCCATTGCCCTGCTTATTGGTATACAGTCCTTTATGTGGAGGTGTAAAAATAGCATTGAAATGGAGGTGCTCGATTGTGCCCTTCTCACAGATCTGCTTCTCTGTGTGGCATGTGGGCCCTTTCAGTGGGATTTTGCCTCTCCTGGTCATTCTGTTTATAGATGAACTAAGGAGAATCAGTGTATCCTTGCTGCTTATAGATCAAAATTACCATCTTTGCAAGGATAGAGACACCATGTGCATTTTGATTTCCATTATGCCTCTTGGTTTCATATTTCTTTAGGGAGCTTTTCTTTACAGCAAGGGTGCATTCAAAATAGAAGCAGTTCCTCCTTTGGGCTTTGGGTTGATTAATTGCAACGAAGCTTCCTTCACATTATATTTGCTACTCATTTCTACCATTTGTTTTTGGACAGAGCTCAGGGTGGGGCAAGAGTGAATGAGCCAAATAATGAGGGTATTATTACTTTTCATAGCTAGAAGTCTAAGGCTGGAAATTGAAGCGGTCCTTCAATGCATATTGGCAAACTTGTGCCAAATTCAAGATTACTATTTTTCTGAAAGTTCTAGGACATTACCAATGCACTGATCACGAATAGAATTTCAGAGCTGCTGGATGAACCTTTTCCATCTTACCAGTAAAAACAGTTCAGAGTATATTGACTGCCAGGAAAAGAATCAGACAAGCTTAGCTTTTGTATTTTTCTCTCTTGATAGAATCAATGCCAAGACTGCATAGTTGAGGACTAGAGGGTTTCTAAGGTTAAAGATGTTTGTTTTGGTGCTGATATTCTAGGATTAAAATATAGTGCATAGGTCCAGACTAATAGCTGACACGTTTACTTATTCACCGTGATGAAACATTAAGTCCTATATGATTCCTTTCTTGAAATTCCATTGCATTGCTACTCAGGAGACCTTTACCAAGTTCATGGGAGCACCACTCTTGGTACAGATAATTGCAGATTCATTGCTTGTGCCAGAGGCTTTTACTTTTGAGAGCTGTGGGAAGAAAGAGGAAAAATTTAAAGTACAACATAGCAATTGCTCAGGTATACAAGTTTGCTATTGCATGTGCTGTACTGCACGTGTATGTGTTATTACTTTATCCCCACACCAGTGACTTACACATAACCAGTGCTCAGGGACCATGTGATGGCAGGAATGCTGCAGGGCAGTGGAAGCCACCCAGGGTTCCAGCAGCCCACAGGAAAAAGCTGGGGGCTTTAGTGCTGTGCTTGTGGATGCTGAGAGGTAGATTCGCTTTTGCAAGATGGGGTGAAAGTCCTTTGCTGAGGAAAGTGAAAGTGCATTTGCCACAAATTACCCCTGGGTGATTATGAGTGTTTCATTGTGGGGTGTGGAATAGGAAATGGAAGCAAAGCAATTTGCTTGGGGTTAGAGGTGGAATGAAAATCCCTACTTTGCCCAAGTGGATGAAATATATACAGTGCAAAGCCTTTTTCTCACCTTTGCTGTCAGCCCTGCTTTCCTCATCCTCTTACGTCTCCAAAAAGGATAACCAAACTCATTTATTTCTCACACACAGGCATATATGTACATACATATGCACACATGTGCATACAAAGAAGTGTTATCTTGCTTGTATGAAGTAAAAAATGTCTTTGATGTCTTTCACCGTCATTTATTCTTTACATCCATTATGGATGATAGTGATGGCTTTTAAAAATAAAGATCATTGGCTTATGGATTTGATCCTTCTAACTGTTGGTAAGTGAAGGTTTGTCATAGATAAAACATAATGGAACTTGCCTTCTGAGGGAATGTATTATTTTATATAATTGGTAAAGCTAGCGTCCAAGGTAATGTGCATAACCTAAGTAAAAAAACATTGACCAAATGTAGGGCTTTAGTAAAAAGACATCAAAGTTTTTGAACTTCTTGCCCCCCCCCCTTTTTTTGATACCACAAGGTGTGCAGTAGACCTTGCAGTGGGTGGGGAAGGGGGAGAGGTCCAGTGGAAGCTGCCTGTTGGTCAAGTACACGCATAGTTTCTAGTTTATACATTGTGTGTTGCAAGAGTTTATTTCCAACGAGTTTATTTCCATTGTGTGTTGCAAGAGTTTACTTCTCTATAGACCTGGAGGTTTTGTTTTTGTTCTTTAAGACAGGGTCTCACTTTGTAGTTCAGGCTGGCCTTGAACTTGTTTATGTAGCCTCAGGCCATTCTTGTGTTTGGTAATCCTCCTGCCTCAGCCTCCTGAATGATGGGATTACAGGCATGTGCCACCATGTCCTGCCTAAAATTTATTATGTCAGCAAGTCCTAATCCAGAATCTATGAAACAAAATCACTATCACCTCTGTCCAATGATCTCGGTAGAAGACCTCCAAATGATACAGGGGAAAGAAACTCCCAACCTGCTATATGTTTTGTATGAGTTTGTGTTCTCTAAAATTGAAGAATGAATTCTAGAAACAATAGCGATTAAAAGCTGAATATATTTATGAGGGAAAGAAAGCTTTTGTCTAAGAGAGAGACAGAGGGGTCTTGAGTGGGCTGCCCATGAAGTTGAAATATTAGTGAAATCTATATAAAGTTAGAAAGATAAACCATCAAAGAAGCAAGAATATTGTAAGCAAGAATTATTATGAAATCATTTTGGGGACTTTGAATTCTGTTTTCTGCGTTGTTACTCTTCTCTTTGGGTTTACTGCAGAGTCGATCATATAAAAGCAAAGAATATTTAGATTTCATTCATCCTGGGGTGTGCATTCTCCAGGCATGATATTAGTGGGATTGTAAGGAGCATTACAGTAGAACAGTTTTTATTAGCTGTCAACATTTTCAATGCCTTTTAAAAGAAAGGTACATTAAAATCTCTTTCAAAAATGAGAGTAATTTATGTATATTATAAAATGCAGTGCAGTTTAAAGTGGGTGATTTAAAAATTATTTTGATTATAGTCTACATTTTATACCAAGAACCTATGAGTTGTGTATAAAAGTCTTGTAAAAGTTCATAGAAATATACTCTTAACTGCAGTATTTTTCTTATTTTCTATGGTTTTTCTGTTTTAATTCATTTTAAAATGCTGGTTATAACTTACTGAACTGGTTTTATAACCCACTAATGAGTCACAGACTTATAATTTGAAAAATATAGGTTTACTACATGAGTTTGGGCTCTGTTTTTTTTTTTTAAACCAGTGTAAATAAAGT